CTGCGTTTACTTGGCACGCAACATTTTTCACAGCGCACTTTCAGTGTGTCTGAGTGTGTGTGTGCGTGTGCGTGTGTGTGCGCGTGTGAGTGAGTAATGCCCTCCACTGGCAGGACATGAGGAGTTGGTATTTGGTCAATGCTTCAGTTTTACGGTTCGTAATGCTTGTAATTGATTGTTAATGCCGCACTTAACCCAGACTCCAGCTGAGCTGGCCAAAAGGACAATCGTCCTGCGGCTGGCCGAAAGAAAAAAAAAAAAAACAAAAAAAGAAACTGGGGCCACGAATATGTGTACTATATATACATATATATTCTCCCGAATCCCGGAATCCGGTTACGGCTCCTTCTCCTGCTACTGTTGCCTTTGTTTTCCCCCGCCTGACGTGCGTGGCTTGGCTTATTTATTATTTAAGGGCCGCGTTGCGTGTGCAATTGCTGAAATTCCTTTTTTAAAAATAACTCTCAGAAATCAGTTAAGAATATATCCAAATGAGGGGGGGGAATAAGAAGTAGGAAGAGAGTCGGCAACAGCGGCAAACAAATAACGCCAAGGGATCGCAGGGCTTAAGGCTGGACTGGTCAGCCAGAAACAGGATTTGGAAAGGGATCACAGGTGAGGAATGTTTTTAAGCAAATTTACTTAAATAATAATCCATGCTAAAGCTAATTATTCATGAAATATATATTTAATAATACACTAATTATCCAAACGAAATTCCGAAACCAATCTAGTTAGCTGGGGAAAAGGCTCGATCGCAAAAAAACGGAAACATTAATGCCGGCAATATAATAAAGGATAATGCAGCAGGAATGGCAACCACTTCCTCCCCCTCTCCGACGACATTCCTGGCCACACTAAACAGCCTGGCGCACAACTGAAATGACAATAAACAAAAATGCAGTGGCACAACTACAACTACAACTGTCGGGACGAAGGATAACAGAATGTTCGCCCTGCTACAAGGATGTGAGTTGGGGGGAGACAGAAAGAGAGAGAGAGAGAGAGGGAAAGATAGCGGTGCAATGGAGAGATGGAATAGCGCAGGAATAGCAGGGAATGACAATTTGGAATAGCTGAAATGCTGCTCTTGTTGTTTGGCCTTTTCATTTCTTCGTCTCCCTTTTTTTACTTTTTTTTATCCTTTTGCTTTTTGTTATTTCTTTTTCGTTTATTGAATTCGCAGCATGCAGCAACAATGGCAGCAACTTTTGTTGCATACTTCTCGGAGCCACCCACGCAGCATGAAGGATATATGTATGGTACTTTTGTTTTTAAATCCTTAAAGGAAGGCTACAAATCAAAGGGAAAATCTTGAGTTAGGTTTCCAGAAGCCTGATAGTAGAAAAGATTAAGTTGTATACACACCAGTTAATTAACTGATAATTCTACAAATATTTTTAATTAATTATTTCAAATAGTTAAAGCTAACAAAGGACCCTATTTCTGGGATTCTTTGTAATATTTACTCCTACTATCAGACCTAAGAAAGTGATACTCCCATCTACCTCTATTTTCCCTTATCACTTACATATAATTTGTAATATTACATCACATCATAAACCATATTTTGGCTTTTTCTAATCAAATCCAAACAAAAAACCGCTGCGAAAGGCCATACACAATGGGATGTTGGGTGCTTGGGATCGTTGAAATGAAAATGAAGATGAAATAAAATGGAAAGCACAAACAAGAGGAGAAACACAAAAAAAAAAAACAGCAAACTGCAAAAATTTCTATGCTGTAAACGAAATTGAAAATGAGCAAGCGGAGCGAACACGGACATGGACATGAGAAGCGGACACCGACACGGACACGGACATGACCGGCACCCAGACCGAGACCCAGACCCAGACCCCGAACCTAGGACCCAGAACCTTGCCAAAGCTCAATCCCAGATCGACACCTGCACTGAGACAAAAAAAGCAAGCCAAGCTGACGATGAAAGAGTGACAGAAATCCTATTAAAATATATATAATAGAGATTCTGGCTTTAGTAAATGGTATCATTAAGGCTTAGTTAGAGTAAGAACTAGCTCAGAATTTATTTTTCTAGTTTATCTAAATTTTTGTAGACCCTTTTTAGTGTTTTATTTACTCTAGAAGTGCAATTATTTAAAATTAAACAAACAAACTGCCTTAAAAATAGGTTCCCAAACCCCTAAAATGCTTTGTGTTTTACAGGTAATCCAATGATTTTTGACTGCGTTGCCTTCCAGTGGGAACCTTATATGGAATTGTGTACACCAAGCACTAGAGGTGTTGGTGGGAATGTCTGAATGCCAGGATGTGCACGTCAGTGTGTGCTTTTCCCGCTCCTCCACAAACCCCTTTTCTTGTGAGCTCTGCTCTCGTCTTGTAATGAGCCGGAGAATGGACAGTGGAGAGTGGAGAGTAGCGGGCGGAGCAGGGAAGACACTGATGAACTTCATCTTAACTAACCGAAATGCAGGTGAGGGTTGGCACAGGTGAGAAATGGATGGTAGGTAGGGGAGGGAGGGAGCAACAGAACTAGGAATCGCTTAAAAGCAAATTGCGCTGAAAAGCAATCAGCGCATAAGTGCAATACAAATACAAACAAGCTTATTGCTTTTCCCGTTGTCCTCTCGCGCTCCTTCCGGCTAGCATGCCCTTCACAATGGCAGGGAGATGGGTTCTGGAAAGCGAATAACAGATAGCAAAATGAGATGAAGTGTCCAAGCACCACTACTATTTACGGGCACACTGATATATGGATGAATATATGTTAAATCCATGCACGATGTTGTGCATCATGTTCAGGGACACAGATTTTGGGTTTGTGACTTTTAAGGTATCCTCTCTACTCTCTTTCACAGAATTCTCTTTTCTTTCTTTCACAGAATCGGCTATTCCCCTCTATTCCCACTTCCAACATATACTTTCTTTTATCTTTCGTAGGATTCTGTCTTCGCTCTACCACTGAATCCCAGTCAGGGATATAGACTCTTGCAAAAACATATATAATTTTAGAAAACTCTTTCTCTCCTTGGATTTATTTATAAATTATCAAGTATTATTACTGCTTCGCCAACCCTTATTACTATTTACGATGCCCATCTGTTACGTCCAATGCAACGCTAACCCGGGCTCCGCACAATCCGCTTCGTAAAAGCATTTCTAATGACCAATTACTCTGCGGCGGAGTAGCAAGACCCGGCGAATCCGTAATCCACTCGCAGTGAGCCGAGACCCGTAAACCAGGAACCGAGAACCGGAAACCGAGAACCGAGAACCGAGAACCGAGAACCGAGAACCGCCTAAACAGAAACCATAATCGCAGGCAATGAAATTCTGGATTGCAGCACATAACATAACACATTACACCAACTGTGGGAGGCCGGGCGGGAGGCGTTAAGCCCTCGTCACTTGGCATCGCATTGGTGCTCTGTCCAAAAACCAGCTGTCGACACCTGCAATGAGTGATCACCGCTCGCGGCTCGCATTACAATGCAAATACACATTACACACACACAGCCATGGCCGGAGGGAGGGAGTAGGTTATTGCCCATATGGCCGCCGGAGTTGCCAACTTGTAGCCGAAACGTACGACGAAACAGCAAACACATTTAGCCCCGTAATGGACTCTTTTTATGGCATTTATAAGAGCGCCAAACAACGTCTTTTCAGAGGACATACAGGCAGACAGACAGACAGACAGATGGAGGGTCCGTGCTCAGGTAAAGCCAAGCAAAAAAGTATAGAAATAAATTAAACTAGCACCCGTGGCAGTCTGAAAATGCGTGGCACCTGTATGAAATAGCGCTATCAATTGAGAGCCAAGGGGAAAAACGCCACTTTCGCTGAATAGTTGAGCTACTTTTTCCAAGGGTTTTTTAGTTATTTTCTAGTTATATTATCCCAAGCTTGAATGCCGATTATTGTGGATTGAGGGTATATCTAATAGCTTCGAAGCTATATCTAATAACCCGATTGCTTTTTCTAATAGCTATGCCCATGGTTGCTTCCCTCATTAAGTAGTTAGAAAGATAATTTGCATGCAATATTGAAAGGAACTCAGCTCACAAACCAGGTGCTTTTAATGACTAACTTGATTTTCTATAGTTCAAGGGTGAGAGGTATAATATCAACCATATCTTGGAGAATTATCTATAATTGCATTTAAAAAGGTCAATTTGAGCCAAGAAGTCATAGTACTCATAAGCCTAAACGATGATCCCAGTTCCAGGTACAATTTTGCTTGCTAAAGAATTCCCATTTTATTTCTGAAAGGGAGATCATTTCCAGATGGAAACTCTACAACAAAATTCACCTATCAACGTGTTCATTACGGCCCACTGGGGCTTACTAAAACCACTAATGTTCTTAAAATATATTTAACAAAGTCAGCTGAACTATATGCTATATACTATTTGTATATATACTCTTGAAAATGTACCAAATAAAGTAAGCTTGCATCTATAAATCCTTTGCATTTCTGTAACAAAATTGCTTCTTATTTCAAGTTAAAGAAGTGTAACGTGTTATTTGAAGTCCTTTAGAAACCTTACCGAAACCTTTAATCAACATGTTTGTCTTTCAAATCCACCTGGACCTCTGCCCCCACGCTCAGGCTTATGAATTCCATTTGGACTATCCTCATTACTATTCTATTTCCAGGAGTAGCCAAACTCGCACCATCGACAACTCTCTATAGAGAGGTTTTCACTGAGGTTCAGGTTCATGTTCACGTTTTATAAGTACACTGACAGAAAGCTTGGGGCTTTGATAGATGATATTGCTAATTATTATAGAAGAAAGATCCTCTATTTAGCTAGTTTTTTCTATTTTTACTCCACAAATGTTAACCCATCAATATATCTTTTGAATAATCAACTTAGAGCCTTTAAAATCCCTTAAATCCAGTAGTAGATCTCCCTATTTTCGCTCACTGCATTTCCTTTTGTGGTAGATCCAATAAAATGTGCGAAAAAGTTGATGCGCGGCTCGCGATTGCCATTTATTTTTATTGCCGCACTTACCTGCTACTTAGCGCCACCCGCCTTCTTCGGCTGCTTCTGTTGGCGCAGGTGGGCGTGGCCGTCACAGAAAGAAGTCTCGAGTTTGAGTTTGAGTTTTGACTTTTGCTCCTGCTTTTGGGGACAAGTGTGTGTGTGTGTGTGTGAGTAGAGAAGAGGGATTCCCCTCTTTCCCTCTGTGAGTGCGTGTGCGACTGGCACTTTAATCAGCAATGCCATTTGCTACTTCTGCACAAGGATAACAGGGGACCCAGCAAGGACCAGGTGTCCTCGTAGGCCAGGAATGCGAAAAAAAGGAGAAGCGCGTACAAGAAAAAAAAAAAGGAAAGGGGGAGAACATTCGCACATAACACTTCCCGGGGGCAATAAAGTCGCGCATATTTATAAGCCGGCGCGGCTGTCTCTCGATTTCCATCTAGGCGCTGCTTTATGCCAGCTTTTATGGCCAGTCGAATGTATCGAAGCCCTGGCTGGCACTTGGTTCGCACTTCGCACTCCATCCATTGACAATGACATCCTGCGAAGAAAACCTCCTGGCCAGGATCTTCTGCCCGTCAGCTGCGCCGCATTTATTTCGCATTTGCCGTTTTATTGCGCAAAATTGAAGGCGCACTTTATTGCCGACTGGATTTTTGGCATAAACAGAATTTATGCATATACAATATACTCGCAAAAAAAAAAAAAAAAAAAAAAAACTGCCCCGGACGTGACGAAGTCCTGGGAAGCAACCCAGGGAGCAAAAGTTTTTAATTTGCTTAGACGCGACGGCAAGTCTGCCTTTGGCCTATAGAGCCTCTAACTTGGAGAGGCTCAAGCCTCTCCTGGGTCCTAGGAGAATCGGTCCTAGGCTCTCTAGCTTCGCCAGCTTAAAGCAGATTAAATTATCGCATTTTTCTCCTTATTTTTCTTGCTCCTGCTCCTGGCTGATTCGATTTTTTTTTTTTGCCAAAGAGAAAAAAAAAATAAGCAACAACCCGACGAAAAGCAAAATCGTTGGGCAGGCGGCAAAAGTTCGAATAAATTGAGTGAAAGTTCGCATTTGCCTTAAACATTTTCGTTTGGTTTTTCTTTCTTGCTTTTTTTATTTTATTTTCTTTTTTTTTTTTTTTTTTTTAGGCAGCACATGGAATCAACTTGAAAATTTATGTTCCCTATTGGCCCAGGTGTGGATGGCTTTCATCTTTTCCCATTTTTCTCCTGATTTTCGGGCCAAAAGCATTTTTGGTTAAAAAATAAGTTTGCCAAGGGGACAACCCACTTTTACCAAGATTGAATTCAGGCCTTTGTCTTGAAATAATATTGATTTCTTCATTTAATATAACTTTTGTTGGAAATCTGATTAGTATCCCTGGACTTGGTAAAAGTTCTTGGGGTTTGTGGTTACTTTTAAAAACAAAGCTGGGGTTTTATTCTACGATTTTTAGCAATAACTTGGAAATTATAAATAGAAAATATATGCAAAAAAAAGTCTGGTTCTGACAGGAAATATATTAATTTTCAAATTAAAGAATTTAAAGTTTAATCCTATTCTGTTTTGAGTTGAGATTCTGCTTAATTTATAAATAATTATTCCGAAATTGTTATATTATATATTTCTTTTGTAAATTAGGGCTTTGTTTTTATATTTCTTTATAAAAGAACTAACTTTTTGTGTAAAAAAATTAAAACATTGACAAGATCTTGTACACTAAGCAAAAGTCTTGTTACTTTAATTGTTATATTCCTGGTGGCAACAGCAAACAGCAACAGTCTCAAGGCTCTCACACACACGCACACACTAACACACCCTTGCACACACTAACACACACACACACACACCCGCTGGAAACTTACTAATTGAATTATTGCGCCCCGAAAAATATGCTACGTTCCTGCAGTTGCAAACGAATCAATTCACTTTTCCAGTTGGCATTTCTCACTTTTCAATGTTTACATTTCACTGGCAAAACTATCGTTGTATTTTCTTCGTTTTCTAGTTATATTTGTATTTATTTTTTCGTCAATTGAGAACCGAAAACCAAAAAAAAAAAGGGGAGAACAGAGTGGCACTCAGACGTGTAACCGAAAAAAAAGCAACAATAACAACACGGAACACGGAACAGATGCAATTGACGGAGGCACGCTTTCGCGGCGCGTTTTGATTTCGCTTTCGCTACCGACTCGGCGGGAGGGGGGAACAACGGGCGACTGAGGGGGTGGTTCCGAGGGGTGAGGAGGATGAGAGGACGAGAACGAAGACGATCCACCTGATATATCACGTACCCGCCGCGTACAACGAACGAGCGAGGGAACCAACGCGCGAGCCGTTGAACTGACCAGTCTCAATGGTTCGCTTAATGGCAATGTCAACTCCAATTTCGAGTGCGAATCGTATCGAATCAAATCGAATCGAACAGAATCGAGTCCAAGCGTTGCGAACCCAAGCGAATCGAGTGATTTGCAGTCTCTGTCCGCGTGCACAAACCACAGCGCCTGATATCCCAAATGAAACTGAACGGAGGAGAGCCGAGCGTACTCGAAACTCGGCCAATGACTCGCGTCTGCCGAGCCGGCGCCGAGTCCTCAGCCTTTGGCTTCCACACACACCCCCGCAGTCCATCGACATGCACCTTTCGCAGGTCGCACGAGGGCTTCGTTGCTCGTCGGCTTCGCCGCTTCCGTTTCCCGCCGACGACGCCGCTTTGGGTGCTCAGCTTCGGCTTTTCACCCTGCGGACCTCGGCAGGGATGCGCAGGCGCAAAGCGGTCGCTGTGGAACGCGTGTGTGGATGGTGTCTGTGGCAGAGATGAGAAGGAGTTCCATATATGTGCCTTTGGATCCTGAAAGTAAATAAATAAAGCTCGTTTTATTCATAGGGAATAAGGATATAGCCTTGTCCAACGCCGTTCCTGCCTGTACGATGCTCAAGCTCATAGAGATTGGTGTTTTGAATGTAAAATAATTTTTAATAATATTTTCAAAAACAGTTTTTTGATAGGCATAAAAAATTCAAGTAAATAGAAAGCCATTCCTTATTTTTTTTGCATTTAATTTAATTAATCTAAATCTTAAAAAGTTAACTTATTTACCAATTAAAATTCACTTACTATCCACCCTTTGCCTTAGGTAGCTGCCATCTCTGACGATTCCCCTTGTGGACTCCATTTTTTCGGGATTCCTGCGCCTCGTGCGATGCCTGCAAGCGACAGGACAGTCGGTGGCCGAAAGGCTCGCAGCGCTTGCAACTTGCAACTGCAAGTGCAGCCACGAAGGATCCTTCGTCAGGATATGCTATTGACGAAGACTAAAGTCGCGACTGCCTGCTGTTGCTCCGGTTTCTGTGCCTCATGCCTCCTTCTCCTCCTGCATCCTCCTTTCCGTGCTCCTGCCGCCGGACAAGTTCAAGGGAATTCCGCGCGACAAATACATTACACACGCACCGCCAGCGCGAGTGCAGGCAAATTAAGCTGACAGCCGCAGACCGGGCGGGTATACCGCCCATCCTTTCACCGCTAGTCCTGCCAATGTAACTGCATCTTGAACTCGGCCAGTGTGTCACTACGCTCAGGGTTTTTTTTACCACCGGTAAAGGAGAAAAGAAAAGGAATTTAAAGGGCTTACCCTGGCTGTTCTAATTTTAAGTTATTAAAGAAATTTGGAGTGTAAACTCATAAAATTATTAACCTAAAAGATTTGTTTCTTAATTTAAGGGTAATATTTAATAAAATTTAATATCACAAACATGTATCCACATGCGCTCGCCACTTTGTATTCCCAAGGCCGGCAGCCATAACCTCATGTCATAGATGTTAAAACCAGTTGGGAATTATATGTACACACGTGTGAGATTTTTCGCCGGGAGATCTTTAGGGCGAATTCGCCAAAGTTTGACCAGCAAAGCAAGTGCAATTCTTTTTAATTAAGAAAGGACTTAAACAAAGCCAATTATAAATACCATATTGTTATGCTAATAGCTATGTATATCCTAGAATATCTTATACAAATCGTAGTGCATCTTGTAATATCTTAGGCCCTCTGCAACTTCATCATCTTTGTCTAAGGCTGAGGCTACCTTTTTTTGTATCTAAAGTTGTGGGTGTATCTTTGCCCTTTGAGTTTAACCCAAGTTTAGTTAAACTCCACACAGTGCCTGTAATATCATATATTCCAAGTCACTTATTGGTATATATAGGTACTTATGTTTTGTTCCATCACACCAATAACGAACCGATTAACACCGATCCAAGCGGCGTATCTCAGAGTGCATTTGGTGCGCACTGCACTTTGCTGACTTTGCTTTACTTTTGCCCTGACTTGCCACTAGGACTCGAATTTGAATTTGGTGTGATGCTAGGCAGTGGGGAAATCTCTTAGGGCTGCTCGCTTCAACGGGTTTTCTTCTGGGCTGCAGTTGCTGCTGCTGCTGTTGCATGTTGCTAGTGTTGCGGTTGCCTGTCCTAAGCCCTTTGCACTCACTTCGCTCGGTTCGCGCATCGTCGAGCAGCATCAAGTTGATTTTATCCCTCCGTTCCCTACCGGAAGTTGTCATTAAAATATTGCACTCAGGCAGCCAAAAAGAGAGAGAGAGGGAACTGCAACTCTGTTGCATGCAGGTGGGGAAAAGAGCGCCAAAAAGTGGGGTAAACGCGGCATAAAAAGTGCAACAATATCGAGGCAGCCTCGGTGGAAAGTTTCTGCATTTATGGGAGGCCGCACAGCAGCAGCTGCAATGAATTCAGTGACAGTGTGTCCTTCGGCTCGCTTGGGGGAAAAGTGCGGCTTGGATGAGCCATCCAAAGGCGCCTTCCATCTTCCATCTTGCCGTTGCTTCTCCAAGCTGACAGCCAAATCGTAGCAGTCCCCTCTATGAGCCATTAAAGTCTCATTTAAATCAAGAGGAGCAGTCCGCCATCGAGAGTTGCTATATAGTTGCTATATCCTTAACAGCAAGACGTAACTACTTACATAGTATATATGTAAGTAGTTACGTCTTGCTGTTAAGGATACACGAGCACACTACACCAGTGTCCTTGGACTTTTGCATACCCCGCAGATGCTGTGGCTTTAGTTTCAATTTATAGAAACCACGAAACTCTGCCTATAATAATTATAATTTTAAATATACCATTTAAGCTAATATTATAGCTCATCCTAATGGCAATCGATGAAACCGTACCCCTGCCCGGGATTAAGTGTATCCTTTGCTACGCCACTGCTGGCTGCCTCTTGCTGCCTTGTTCCTGGGTGAGGCTATTGTTCCCTTACTGGTTGCTGCTGCTGCTGCTTATCCACCGAGCACGGATCCAGCAGCCATTGTCCTGGTCGCCTCCTTTGTCTTAGTGCAACAGCCACGAAATGCAACTGCGACGGCCAGGTGGAGATGGAGATAGGGACGCGGCATTTACAGTGACGACGTTCACCTGAACGCCTACTGTCCTCTCTCCCCATTCCTGATCCTGCCCTGGCAAGTCCTGTAATGTCTTCGTCGCGTTTCGGTGCCCGGTGTTTGGTGTTCCTACACGCAGAGCCAGAAATTGTGGCAAATTGGCTGGGTTTTGTTGTGAATATATAAAGAATGTATAAAGCTCACTTGAAGAGAACTGTGGTGGTTCTATTAAAGCGTATAGTACCTCTGATAAGTGTCTATAATTATAAGGTATATTATTCAGTTGTTCAGTTTCTATTTTCTCGCAGTGTGACTGCCAAAAGACTGAACTGCGCTTAGCTCCTCACGACGCTGCCTTTCAGCTCAAGTAAAATAAAATACAATTTATTTGTATATTGTTTTGCTGTTGACAATTGCGCGACTGCAGAGCGCAACTTTTTGGCTACCTGCAGGGGAGCAGGAGGGGTAAATGTGTCCACTATGGGTCAGGTGAGTGTTTTTTATTAAACACTTTAAAGGATATCGATATGAAAAAAAGTTACTAAAACGTTTTTTGATAATATAAAATATATAGGAAATTAAGGAAACTTG